AGACAAAATCAACCCACTTTTCCATTATTGTGGTTGTTGTTGTGGTGGTGGTGGGGGTGGTGTAGCTTGTCACACAGCTAATCAGATGTTTAGATTGGATTTGGAATTTTTATCCAACTAAGACAGGTAGTCTCTGACTTACAACAATTCATTTAGTGACCATTGAAAGTTACAAAAGCACTGGAAAAAATGACATGTTTTTCACACATGATAGTCACCACCTGCAACCACTGTTGCAGCCCCCTAACTTTAGTGTTGCATAAATTCTTAAAGTGGAAAGTAATTTAACTGCTTCTCTAAATGTACATTTATTTCCCTGATGGAACAGTAAACTCATTTTATCATGCATGCTATTTAATATTTCAGATAATAATGTTGAATAAATAAAATTATGTCATGAAATATATGAAATGATTGTTATTGATGTTCATTAAGTTTTCCATTCAGAGTTAGGTTTTTGTTCCTTATTGATTGTATGCATGAGTCTTTTTGATTGCATATGGAAGGCAATTATGCATGCAGTGAAAATATGAATAAGTGAAGTGACATGCTTATAGATTATAAAAGCCAGTGTCATACAGAGGCTGTTGCAGTTAAATAACTATTTTTGAAAAGACTTAGACAATACTATATGCTGGTGCTAAAACTGGCTTCTGCTAAAACCTACATTGCTTTTCATCCAAGAATATTATGCAAAACATATACCAACAAAACTAGCAATTTCCTAAGCATGATTTTCCCCTTTTAAGGTCTTTGAAGTAGTTGAACGTGTTGAAGAATTAAGGAGGAAGTGGCCGGTAGCCTGGGGAAAGTTGGATGATGGCAGCATAGGTGTTGTAACACCATATGCTGATCAAGTGTTCCGAATTCGGGCAGAGCTTCGGAAAAAAAGATTGTCAGATGTCAGTGTTGAAAGAGTGTTAAATGTTCAGGGTAAGTAGTACATGATTTGATTTGATTTGATTGGGTGCCATAAAGTCAGGGTCCACTTTTAGTGACCACATTGATAATACATACCTTTGACTAGAAGAATCTAGCCAGAAGTTGGAATCGCATTAAAATGCTGTATAAGAGCAATTTATAATATTGCTGGTATTTAAAAACATATAAAACTTCAAATCTAAGAATTAAGCATCCTTATTTATTTTTTTAATAATGGGATGCCCTTTGAGATAAGACTCTAGCAATATTCAATAGCTGTGATCACTAAAATATTCAAGAACAGTTAATATATCAAGTTGGAAAGGAATATAGTTGAACTCTGCAAAAATTCTATATGGAAACAGATTTTTTTAAAAATAATACCAAATCAATTATGATAATAGACCACACCATGCATTTAATTTTACTAAGATTATGAATAATAAAAAGTAAAGGTTCCCCTCACACATATGTGCTAGTTGTTCCCAACTCTAGGGGACGGTGCTCATCTCCGTTTCAAAGCAGAAGAGCTAGTGCTGTCTGAAGATGTCTCTGTGGTCATGTGGCCAGCATGATTAAACACCAAAGGTGCACAGAACATTACCTTCCCACTAAAGGTGGTTCCTATTTTTCTACTTACATTTTTACATGCTTTCAAACTGCTAGGTTGGCAGAAGCTGGGACAGGTAACGGGAGCTCACTTGGTTACTTGTCACTAGGGATTTGAACCTCCAAACTACTGACCCTTCTGAACAACAAACTCAGCATCTTAGCCACTGAGCCACCATGTCCCTAATTTGTGAATCACAATAAAAGTCTTAATTTCTGTTTCTTGTTTCACCAGGAAAGTTGCCTTTTTCCTTTGATGGTTTCAGATAAAATTTAGAGTTTTTAATATTCTTAGAACCCATGAAAAAAAATCAAGGATGCTTAATTCTTAGATTCAAATTTCATTTACGTACCCTTTCACCCAAGAATATAACACATACATATATATCCTTTTTCCAACCTGGATACCTGCTTG